AAAAAAAAGAATTACCAAAATCAAGCGACCATGAGGTGCTGCAGAAAAGAAGAAGATCTACACAAATGCTGCTCCTTCTCTGCAGAAGCCTGCAGTCCAACTGGGAGGGCAGAAGGGAAGAAGAAACTAACAGTAATTTCATAAATACTGAATCTGGGGCCGGGGAGGAGATAGCTCAGCAGAATAAGCACTTGTCTGGCAAGTGCAAGGGCCTGAGTTCAATCCCTGGTTCTGCAAATAATAGTAATAATTATTATTATCATTATCATCATCACCATCATTATTACTGAATCAGTCCAACTTTCCACAATATAAGTATTATCTACAGAGAGTTTCATTACTAATGAAATTTTATAAAACAGTTTTCCATTATATTAAACTTTATAAAATAGTTTTCCATTATATGTAACTTCAGGAAATATTCTGGATTCATTAGAAAACTGTCAGTAGTAACTGCAGTGTCCTAGACAAAATCTTATCAAGACTTCAGAGAGCAAATTATTCTTCCATTCACCTAAACATGACATTATAATAACTAGTATCTACCGCAGAGACTGAAAACAGGAGGATCCCTAAGGGTCTGAGCTGCATAGTAAGACCTTGTACAAAATACATAAAAAATAATAATAACTAGTGTCTAGCTAAAAAATGAGCTGTGGCACTTGACGATCCATCTAAAAGAATGAAACTTAACACCTAAGGCTCTAGAGAACACACAATACTTATAACACAGTCACAAATAGTTCTCATTTGGCATGCTTTCTCTGGGTACTATCATCGATTACACACTTTGGTAAGAGGAGGCTTAAGAGAGGGCCAGCTCTCTTGGGTTGGAGACTGGAAGAGGGCACGACTTTTAACTGACATAACATGTTGACAGAGACCAAGAAACTGAATAAAAGATTATCTTTTCCATCTTCACACTCAGGCCTTGCAGGAAGTTTTCTTCTGTGCTCACCTATCACACGATGCAGCCACTTCATCATGACATCAGTCGTTTACACACAAGATCACACTTGCCTTTACTGTGTATCTAACAGCTTGTCTCTAAACTTCATACGTGTAAATTCCGTTTCTGAATTCAGAGAAGCCAATTCATCTTCTATGTTACCAATTGGCTATAAATTTTAACCAGTG